TTATTTTAAACAATTTGCGTGTTCATTTATTAAAAATGAATCAGCAGGTGAAGCTTCTCATGAATAATGCAGATATAATGAACTCTTTCTCCATCAAATCCTGCTCCCCCTCTGCACGTACAAACACACACCTGATCTTACAGAGACGGTTCTAGCGGTTTCTCTGGGCTTTGAGGGGAGGATCCTCAGGTAAAGGTGCCAGATTTACAGGCAGATCTCCAGCTGGCAGAGGAATGTCACAACCTGTGTTTCAGCTGTAAATTCTGACATAATTACAGTGCCACTAACTCAACCATTGAGGTGAAACAACCACCTTGCGGGGGGAAAATGATCACTGCTTAATGTTATGTCTGGGACACAGATTTACTCCTGTCTTTGTGGGGGGAAGGAGAGAAGAGCAAGAATGTGAGAAATGCGCAAGTTCTCTGACCTTTATGAAGGTGAAGCAACGAGCTGACATCATTACCCTAGCCGGCATGTGCATGCTTGTCACATGGGCCAAAGGAAAGTAGATACAGGTCAAATGAGGGGGAGAGTGTAGGTTATGTGCTGTATAAATACTTCTGTGGAGCCTGGCGTGAGAGATGCACATCTTTGAGTTCATGGCAAAGGTGAGAATGGATAAATGGTGTTTTAAACATTTTCTTAAAAAATCTGAAGTTATGGTGCCCTGTGGGGCCTAGGGCCTAGGTTTAAAATAAAATAAAAAAGGTTATGGGACACACGCTTATTCACTTTCTTGGCGAGAGTTAGATCAATATCACTCACAGACACAATGTTTTCCTCTTACGTGTGTGAAGACAGAGATAAGCATCTTCTAAAAGATCAAACCTTTCCTTAAAGGCGGTACCTTGTTGTATTTGATTCCCAAACTATCACTGTTTAACCATATGACTTCACAAACCCTGCTTTGACAGCAATTTCCTAAATCAAGCAAAACTTAAAAGCCAATTTCAATTTGAGAGAGAAGGCAGTTGTATGTTGGTATGAGCTCGGGTGCCAGAGAAACGTGATGAATAAAATGACCTTTCTTTCCTTTATGTAGTGCTGACACTGTGTGGTGGAATCCATGTAGTGCAGTTTAAGTGCAGTTTTTTGTATCTCCCTCACTTTTGTCACCTCCCTTGTTGTTCAGGCTCATTTAATCACACATAACATCAACATTAGTGATAACTCTCACTGCCTGTCAATCAACTCATGTGTGAGAAGGAACATCTGAAGGCAGGAACCCTTTATTTCTGCCGGTCCAGGTTTCTACTGGCCTAGTCACACTCTCTTCCTGTTTTTCTGCCACCAACAAACAATACTAGGAAGGGGTCTGCTCTGTGTCTAGACGGTGATCCGTTAGCTGTGTCTGATCCGATTCAGTGTGCAGCTCAACAACAACTGCTATAACCTGTCTGGCCGAGGTCAACAGAACTTTCCAACACTCTAAAACCTTACTGGATTTACAGAAAGATGACTGTGTTTTACAGCGTGAGGGCTTTGTATGATCTGCTGTCTCCTCCGGACCTCAACAGAGATGGCAAAAGTACACACATCCTTTACTCAAGTAAAGGAGACTTTACTCTGGTAAAAGTAGAAGTACTGACTAAACTTCTTTACTCAAGTAAAAAAGTATGGGCTTTGAAATGTAAGGTCCCATGTCATACTTTTCCAGCTATTACCCGTCCCCTTGTGTTTTATGAAGGTTTTTATGCATGTAAACGGTCTGCAGAGTCACAAACCCTCAAAGTACATCCTGTAGATGTACTTTGAGACCTGTNATACTTTTCCAGCTATTACCCGTCCCCTTGTGTTTTATGAAGGTTTTTATGCATGTAAACGGTCTGCAGAGTCACAAACCCTCAAAGTACACCCTGTAGCCAGTAAAACTCTAACACAGAAAATACCTGTCTATGCTGCCCCAGAACGCCTCGTTGGAGATTTCTCTTTTTCCATTGTTCAGGAGCTACAACAAGCCGTTTAGGACAGAGAGTGAATACACATACTATACAGAGATGCTGTATGAGAAACCAATGTGAGTTTGGAAAATTGCACAATATAAATCTATTCTAGTAGACCTCAACAATGGAATTATGATCAGTAGAAATGGCCATGACATGGGACCTTTACGTAAAAAGTACCCACCAGCTGTTTCTGTTACCTCATTCACACCAACGCAACTCCGGTTCAAGCTCCGTGCTAGAGTTTTTCAGGTTCAGAACCGGTTCTTCGGTTTAGCTCCGGCTCTTTTCACACTGCCCAGAGTCCCACTGGTGCTGCGTCATTGCGTCATCGTTTGCGTCATGACGTAACCGTTTGCGTGCCTGCTTCATAAAGCCAAACCTCCGGAAACCCCTCACAGCTGACACCGACAACAACAACAATGGCCGATTGTGCTCCAGCTTCCTCTGTACCTCTTCGGAAGACCAGATTCCCATAAGGTAGCTGGTCTCTTCAGTGGACCACTGCTGCTTGTTAAGTTTCTCCATCGTTGTGTACCAACTGGATAAAACACCGGCTTTTTGTTGTTGTTCAGGAGTTGATCCCGCCCCTGCCCCTGCCCCCGCCTCGACATAAGCGTGACGTATGCGGTGCTTTTGCTCTGGCCGGAACATTTTTTGGTGCTTGAAACGAACCGGATTCCGGAGCTAAGAGGCTGCTCCGCTGCGGTGTGAACAGGAAAACCCGGTGCTTTTCAAGCTCCTGCTCCGAACCGGCCCTGAAACACCGTTGGTGTGAATGAGGTATTTGTAGGCTAGAGCTTCAAAAAAACACCACTATTGTTTCCCATGTGTTGCATTGACAAAATCTTGGATATTGGGCAGGTGCAAATTGCGATTTTGAAAGAAATCTGATTAAATGTGCATCCCTAATTGACCATTGTTGGCACTGTGGGAAATGTATCCTTTAGTCCCTTGACTACAGAGGTCATCATGAGGTGAACATAATTGGCCTTTTTCACAAAAATACTGGCTCCAACAGAACAGCTAGAACGGTTTGGTTCAGGAAGAAATACACTTTTCTGTAATTCAACTGGAAAAGATGACACCAACAATATTACAATATCAAAAATGTCAAATCTCGTTTCCTATCAGGATATCAAAGTCATATNGGAAATGTTATCCTAAAACTGAAGGTCTCATAAATCTTTAATGCCATTATAATACATATGCTTATAATATGTGATTAATATGCTAAAGCACTGTTTAATGAAAGCTTTTAGCACTCATAAATATCAAAAAGTTGTAAACAAGGATTAATAACACGCATTTTTTAAAACTGTCTCATACAGTCTAATTATTACTTAAAACCATTCATATTTCTTAAAAATTAAGGTAGATATTTACTATTGTTTTACTTTAATTCTCGGTTTTTATTACACAATGCAGTATATGTGATTAAAGTAATGCTAAGAAAAGCATTAGGTGCCTCAAGTGTACTTGAATTAACATTACATTACAGTTAGACACTTTTATCCAAAGCCATTTACATACTCATACAATCCCCACAGGAGCAATTTGAGGTGAAGTTGTCCAGGGACACAACGAGCATGCTGACGTGCAGGTGGCGGTTTGAACCTGTGCTCCCCCTGATCCCAACACCAACGCACTAGTCCACTGCGCCACACGTCCTGCAAGTTAAACCACCAAATGACTACTTAGTGTATCTTTAATTATCTAATTGCTGTTAAACAACAGATGTCGATGAGTGACCAGAAATTCATGAATAATTTATAAAAACAGGTTCTCTCAAGTCTTAAGATGATCTATCAGTGAATATTGTTATATTAATGAGTGCTTATAGCTGTGATAATTGAAGTGTTAAAAGCTGATTTGGAATGCATTAAAAGAGACGTTAATCTGGAGAAGTGCACTTCTGTACATGTCCCCGCTGTGGGGACTAATAACATGATTTCTGATTCTGAACAATAAAAAGCAGTCAATTTAAAAAACATACATGAATTTAACATCCTATTTATTCACCAGGCTTCAGGCCACATTAATGCAAACATAAACGTACATAAAAGTGGCTGAATGCCTCATGTGTTATGGTATATAATGCATTGGGCAAACATTCATAGTAAGCGGCAAAATATAATCTGAAAGTATTAAAAAAAAGACACACCGTTTCTGAGAATAAAGAAATTATGGAAAAAACGGAAATGTTGACTTTAATTAAATCTAGTATGGTCAACAGAGTACACAATAACTGTATTAGGTGTAGCTTAAAACCAATAATATGAAGTTTAATTAATAGAACACTTAAAAACGGTCACCTATCATGCTATTTTTTTAGTAATAGCATAGGTCTCAGATATATAAAAATATATTCTAAAAAATGTCTATGAAGTTGTTTTTGCTCAAAATACCAAACAGATCACCCATTCTATGGCCATGCCTCATATCCCTCTGTTTCACTTCCTGTTTCAAAAGTGCTGATTTGGGGTATAAAAAATATATATTATAATTGATAAAAAATAAAAAAAGAGAAGGAATGAGCTCATGCGGGACCCGGCAGCTACTGTCTAAACTAAATACTGCCGTGATGAAACGCCATATCATGGATTATCAAGGATTATCTCTGAAACAGTATGGAGCTCAAAGGCTTTCTCTCTTGCCGGTTATACCACAAGGTGAGTTCCTTTTTACTTCCTGCTTCTTCACACACATGCTCTCCAGTACAGGTTAGCTCTGAGTGTTAGCGATGCTAATGTAAACACAAACCATTTTACGTCCAAAACAGTCAGGCATTGTTTCTGATAGCAACTTTCTGATTGGGCCGTGGGTCCACATTTCAGATATTACGTCATATCGGACGCAAATCTGGATCAGCTCCGTTGTTCCCCCGTTTTTAGAGATTTGGGTACGGAGGAAAAGAGGGAAGGTTTTATTTTCTGAAGCTGCGTGAGTTCCCTGACACACATGTTTATTTATAAAAGACATCAAAAAGTGCAGTTTGCATGATAGGTCCCCTTTAACATTATTGACTTCAACTAACCTAATACTGTTATATGAACTCTGTTGACATAATACATTTAATTAAAGTCAATATATCCGTTTTTCCCGTGTAAATGTATTAAATACCTTTTTCTCTGACAATCACACACTAGAGGTGCAAGTGTGTATCTATTTCCAGCTCTGATATATAATGATGTGTTTTCTCCAGCACTGACGTGGATGACCGGTGACGTAATTCTCCTTTTTTTGCGCAACAGTTACAAAGAAAAAGATGATTATAGTGATTATCATTCATTGCGTGTCCCTGTGTGTCATTTTGATGACTCCTCTGTACACCACTTCATCACAGGAGCTTTATTCTCCGTCACCCATTTGATGTTGGCCGTGGTTTTCTCGATCGCCTGCTCCAACGCCAAGGTGGCCGAGCCAAATCCAACATGGAGGTTGTCTTCTTTAAATTTCCTCAGCTGGAGGAAGAAGAAGAAAAAAATATGTTGAGAAAAACTGAAATTCTGCACTTATTTATCCTAATTTAGGATAATGGGGTCCTAACATATGGTACAAGAAACAAGACAGTAACAAGAAACTAAAAGAAAACAAAATCACAACACAACCACAAGATTACTGCCATCACAACGCAACAATTAAAGATACAAATCCAGACACATCCACAACATGGTGACAATGAATAAATAGCAATACAAAAATAAATAAATACAAACATTGTAATTCGTCGAAAAAAGACAAAGCAGTTTCAAACATTTAAAATAAGTTAAGAGTTGTATATTCGGTGGTAAGTTATTCCAGGCTGAAGGAGCTTTGAACTTAAATGATCTGAACTGTTTAGGATACTGAGGGAATTGAATTTTCGTGTGGACTCAAATGATATGAGGAAGGTCTTCCTTTTTGTTTAGTTATAGCTGCGTGAGCTTCATACCTCCTGTAACTCAAACTCAGTGGAGAACCTCCTGGTGATGCCGGTGATGAGGTTAGAGAAGGAAAAAGATCCTTTTCCGTACCTAATAAAGAAAAGGAAAGAGGTAGTTAGCTTTGAGGTTTTATTGTGATTTAATCGTGCTGATCAGCAGAAGGAAATCATTCAAATCCTGTCTGGGACACCAGATAAACATCTCTCTGAAGGGAGGAGTCTGCAAATAATTCAGGTGGTTTCGGACACGTGTAAACGCAAAAAAACACTTACTAAATCAGCTCTTTCTCAAAAGATAAATCACGCACAAAAGAGAGAGAGAGAGAGAGAGAGAGAGAGAGAGAGAGAACGAATAAAAGGAATCTGAATCTTACGTGTTGAAAAGGTAGCTCCATCTCCCTCTGACGAAGTTCCAGGCGAGCGGCATCCCCACCACGTTTCCTGCGATGCTCCGGATGGTCGAGGTGGCGTCCTGCTTGCGGATTTTCGTTGTGTCTAAGGTGTACTCCAGATACCTGGATCAATAAAAAACATTTCCTTACAAAACACTCACCTCAGAGGAAAAACATCAGAGGCTTGTACTACGAAGCCGGATTTTCACTTAGCCGGCTAACTTCAGGGAAAACTCTGGGTTTCCGGTCCTACGACGCTGGTTCTCTTTTTAGCGTGCTAGATCTCCATGGTAACTTATGCTGAGCGGCTAACCTGGGGCCTATACTACGAAGCAGGATTTTCGTTTAGCAAGCTAACTTCAGGGATTTCCGGTCCTACGAAGCTGGTTCACTTTTTAGCGGGCTAGATAACTTATGCTGAGCGGCTAGCCTGCGGCGGAGCAGGATAGGTTCCAGGATAAGAGATCAACTCAGTGAAAGCCCCGCCTGCTGACCAATCAGAGCTCAGTGTGCGGAGGAAATACAGTTTAAACTGCCGTTGCAGGAAAGACGCCCGGCCAAAATCACCGACTGTGTGAACGTGAAAATGAATAGAATATCACCTCCCATCTTCAGAGCAATCTGACTATTATAACTATTATACTATTATTATACTATTATGTTAAGAAAGCTTAATTAAATATCTGCCACAACATAAGTAACCGGATCAAAGTCACACTACGTAGCCTACATTCCGCGGCACTGTGAGTGCAGACGTGGATGTGTCCCATTATCATTCATATCACATGATATCACATCATAATGTATCATATATTTCCTTATCTGAGTCAGCTGAGCCGTATCTGGCCGTGCAACACTCACAGTGTCACATACTGTATGCAGAAGTAATATTTGAAGCAACACATTAAGTTGACGAAACACTCGAGACAAATGTGATTAAAGTCAGATGGTGTCTTAGACGGGGCAGTGATATCATAAACCTGTTAATGTACGCATTCAAACACTTGTTCTGTTACCAGCTGTATTCACCTTGCAGGTGCAGCTATGTGGCTTTTATCCTGGATAAAGTGTTTAAGTCATGGATGTTTAAAGTTTAACTTCTTCATAT